AAAAAAGAAGAAAACAGAGTAGTAGAAGGTTGGAAACTAACCTCATCATCATCCTCCATACTTGTTTTCTCGCTTCTTAAAAGCTGATTTTAGAAACAACAAACAGGCAATTGCTTCCTTTCTAGATAAAGGTTTTAAAGAATAGAATCGCCAACTATATGAAATTTCTAAACCATTCAATGAGCTTCATAGTTAACCCAATTGAGCTGTAAGAGACAATTATAAATCTTACAGCCATAAAAAAGTAAAGTTGCAGTCCTTCAGCAGGCCTATTAGCTTATTTCTCATGTTCTCAATGATCCAGGAGTGGTTACTATGTTTTATACTTTAAGGTTATTCACAAAATTAGAGACAAATGCGTGCAGTGACATGAAAGGGCAGTAACCAAATATGGATAGGAAGAGAAAAGAGTGGGTATAGGAGCAGACAACTTGAAACATAGAGATAAGGATATATTCATACTAGATTCAGGAGTCTAGCATGATAGGACCATTATATGACACAAGGATAAAAGAAGTAATTCAGGAATAACTATACTTTTCCTAAAAACTTTATATTACTGGCTCAAGTTGGAAAGGACAAGGTTGTTAATTGATCCATAGTACTTAACTACTAATCACTCAATTAGCTAATAAACACACAAACAAAATCAAAGTAAATTTTAATTTCCTTTACCTCTTTTTTGCATGCATCATAGGTTTTAATACTATGTTTGAAGGTATAATACTGCAATAAATTCATAATATATCTTCTCAACTCTTCTTGTGTATACATCTTTTGCATCAAGAACAAAATAAGGAGCCAAAATCTTTTTATAGCTTATTTTCCACTGTAAAAATCACAAGAAAACTTCTTATGTCAGACTCTCACAAGAATTTATCTGCATGTACTTTACCAAAAGAAAGAATTTTTCTGCATGAAAGTCTAAAGGGTCCCAAACTATGAGATATGCTTTCTAGATAGGGCGGAGTGAAGCAGGAGGGTAAGAGAAAATGAAAATGAGCAGAGATGGTTCTAAAACAGCATGTCAAGTTTAAAAAATGAGCATACTAATAAACTAAAGTCAGTTGAAAAATGATCATTCTCCAAAGAGTGACAAAATAAACAATTTATTTTCAAATTACATGAAGCACAAACAAACAATTTACCAAAACAAGTCCAATTATGTTTGTAGGTTGCTCATAGTAGACTGGCACTCTTCTATGCCCTTTCTCCAAAATTAAATTCATCAGCTCCCTATTAGATATCAAGCATCATCATATATATGATCAAAACAAAGTTAAAAAAGACTTCAAGTAAACCTTCTATTCAAAAGTTTTCCAAAGCATGCAACACCTGTCAAGCTTGGCATTGATATCAACAGCAAAAGTGTCAGATATGGGAGTCATGGCATCACTGGCTGTTTTCTCAGTAAGCCCAAGTGCTCCAGCAATAATTGTTGTCTCATCATGTGTGAGTTCTCCACCTTTTCCAGCCTGTTTACAGGTAATCAGAAGACTATCAAGTCACAAGATAAAACAGAAGGAAAAAGAAGCTCTTTGCAATGGAGTTTGAAGTGAAAAATAAAAATGGGATAACATTAACTTCGGGAGACGTTTTTATAGACGAGAAAATTAAAATTCCTGCAAGCAGCACATTTTGTAGGAAAAAAGGAGGAGTATTGGATGGATGTTTTAAGGATTCCTCATTTGGAGACCTTTTTTTTCTTTTGGGTGTGGGTGGGTGGGCAGGAAGGGACATGGGAGGGGGATGGACCAAATTGCATCATAAATAAAATAAAAATAATGTCGTTAGTTCATAATACTTTCACAAATGTGTCTACTTACCTCATTACCATGCAAATCAACTAGTGTTTTCACCATGCTGATTTAACCAGGAAAATTGAAACATCATGATGCGAAAAATAGATTTGAGTTTTCTAAAAGCACTTCTTTAGAAAATGTATCCATGCTACAAGAACATAACTCAAGTTTTCTAATAAGCACTTTTTCTATCAGAACAGATGGGCAGACACATTCCCACCTCAATTGCCCATGTAGCAAATTGCAGGGATAAGAAATCAGTTTTAAGTAGGTACAATCGGGCACGAATACCCTAATAAACCATAAATTGCACTGCAAATTCAAACAGCTGTCCACTTGTTCCAAAATTTATTGCTCTCTTCTAAAGAAATGTTACCTAAGATAAATCCCTCACCTCTCCAAACAGAAGTATCAATGTAACTGAAATCAGGATGGCACCCCAAGCAGTAACCAGACTATCCAGAAATATGGGAAGTGTCTGACAAAAAGAACATCTAAAAACATCAAGTACTTCACGATACATGTTATTAAAAATAGCTTGTTTCAACATGTCATAATATATGTACCTCCATGGCAGCAGCATTGCATATAAGCAACGTGCAAAGCAATAAATGCTGTTTTCGGACAACCTTAATATCTTTTCTGTTGTGAAAAAGTAAAAGATGTCAATTATACTGTATAGTAGTACACAATCAAAATAAAGAGAGAGCCAAAGAATGCAATACAATTCTACCAACCTCAGCCATATGTAGTGTTTGAAGCATTACAAAAACAAAATCTAATAGTACAGCATATTTGGCATTTATAACTTGTGTCATCACCCATACATCACTAGCATCATCTCAATTATATTTATCTTGCCATATTTGTTTTTCTATTTATCTAGTCCAGCTAAATACCCCCCAAATGGGAAAATGCATGCCCTGTTTTCTTTGTAAGAAATGCCTTTTATTCATCAACAAGCCACTGAATGCTCTTCATACATGCTTGTCACGCTCACTCTCCTAACACTACTGGAAAATACAAATCTGACTAATTGTAAGTTATATAGAGTTGACCAATTCAGATGAATTGAGACTAGCATTTATTTATATTAAAAAATATATATAGAATGGCAATTACACAGAAGAGAGAATACATATAGAACAGAAACTCTTCAACTGCCTTCTCTCTAAGGCTTCCCCCAATTCTCGATCCTTCTCTGCACAAACGAAAATCAACAACCAAATCAACATTGTCCTTTAATAATGAAAATGCTGAAAATGAACCAGATTTTTAGAAGAAAATTTGTCTATCACTACAACTAGATTTATCAGGGTTTTTTTTAACTCCTTCTAAACACTGATTGTAAACCCAAACACAACACTAAAAATATAGAAAATAAATTATTATTTTTAAATAGTCTGGGAATAATTACCAATAAATGTAAAAGCGATGATGATCGACGCTTCAATCAATGCATCGCCAAAGCCCTAATGCAGGAATCAGGTGGTGCTCACCTTAGTAGATGATGGTGCTCGCTCCCCTCGCCGGTGCAGATGGTGAAGGCGGTGGAGCTTCGAAATCGAGAGAGAGAGAGAACTTCGAAATCAAAATCGAAATCGCCAATCGCTCAGAGAATGGATCTGAGATGAATCCCCAACCGCTCTGAGATTGGATCTGAGATAAATCACCAATCGCTCTGAGATTGGATCAAACGGGGCTGAAGAAGGTTGATTCGATCGGTTGAGAGAGATTAGGGTTTAGAGAGGGTTGTGAGAGTGAGAGTGAGAGTGAGAGTGAGATCGATCCAGAGAGTGAGTGAGAGAGTAAGCGAGTGTTTTGGGTCCTTGGACCCAAAATAAGACATTTGAGGAGAGAGAGAGAGAGAGCGCGCGCGTGGGAGAGTTGTACATTTGCGCGTGGGAGAGTTGGACATTTGGAGGCGCTTTTACACGCCCTCTCTTATGAAAACAGTATCGTTTTATTTTTAAAAAAAAGTGGCGTTTATCAAACGTGGTTAAATATTGAAAAAGATGACATTTAAAAAAACGTCGTTAAATGGACGTCGTTAAATCTTATTTTTCTTGTACTGTAATTAGTATAAATATTCAAGCTCAACTCAAACTTTTCTTTTTTGAGCTAGATAAACAAACCAGTTCAACTCGGCTCATTTGCCACATTGGCCACTAAGAACTCACAACTAAGAATTGAGCTGAGCTCAAGCATTAATTACTATAAATATTCAAGCTCAACTCAAACTTTTCTTTTCTGAGCTTGATAGACAAACGAGCTCAGCTCAGCTCATTTGCTACACTGGCCACTAAGAACTAACTAAGAGAAATAGGTCAATGGGGGAAGATACAATTTAGCTTTGGGCCAAAGAACACGGGGATTGATTTATTAAAAAACACTGTATTCTATTACAATTACACATAGAAGGCAGTTAGGCTGAAATTTTTTTGTCCAGCTCTGTCGTTCTCTCTTATCCTTATGTTTCGAACTCTCTCTATCATACGATTCAAATGAAGCTTAGCATCAAAAGATAGTAACACATCTTGAGAATGACAAGCTCGGACAAGCTTGGCATTCCAAATCCTCAATTGAGGCAAGTGGTTGATTCTACAAGTACCACCGCATCGGATGCTTCACAGGTCAGTTTGAATTTCTCCATATTTCCACAGCTTTTGTGACTTCATAGAGACTACTAAACTGGTAGTGAGTAGCAAGTAGAGACTGAAGTTGACAATGTTTAAACTAAAACCAACCTTTCATCCAACCCGACTCTTACTGTCATGGTTCTAATATAAACTCTAAAGCGTACAACACCACAAAAGTTCCGAAACACCATGATTGGAATGTAGAGGAAAAATGAGAGACACCAAACCAGAATATATAAGACCCCGAAGAAACACACTACATTAACTACTAGCCATAGTTTCTGCTCACAATTCAACAATTCATCGGAAGCTTCTGTAATTGGGAGTATACATGCAGCTTTCAGCGTACTTCACTAGAATATCAGGCCGAGGGAGACGCATTGCCAACCCTAGGAAACATTGTGAAAGTCATAAAAATAAACATGCTTCAAGGGGCAATTACAGCGGAGGTAAGACACATGAAGCAACCAAAGGTACACTTACTAACTCACCAAGTTCATATGCTTTTAGCAACCACATTAACAGCAATGTGGCCAGAGATCTTTCTGATATTAGAGAATGGTGGACAGATCAAACCCTTGTCCAAATTCTCTTTTGTTACTTGCTCAGCCAAAGCCTCTGCTGTTACAAAGGAAAGTAGATGATTTAGATACAAAGGTTAACCATTCTATCTATTTGTCGTGCCTGTCGCCTAGAATTGCAATTTAATAGGTTTCACCAAAAGTTTTTCGTAGTGCTTCACACATGATTATGGGCAACTCAGGGTAAAAAACTTCTGTTAAAAGGATATCTAGAGAGGGCAAGATGTACAGAGACTATTTCAATGACTTGAACCTGCGCCACCAGGGACGCTAATGGCAAATCGCCGTTACAGAACCAGATCACACATCAAGGGAATAAAACAAACACAAGGTGTTTTTTGAGTTTACATTCTATTGGAATTTGAGTAATCATCTCAGAACTTTTTCTAAAGAGAGTCTATTCATTATTTATGACTTGCATAGATATGTGACCAGGGGAAAGGGAAAAAAATAATAAAGCATAAGTACAATGAAATAAATTAAAGGAATGAATTCCTTGCTCTTCAATTAGCAAGTAAATTGTATTCAACTTATAATATATCTAATTATGTAATATGTAGTGCACTTACAGGCTGCCAGAAGCATTTCATCATGTACACGAATTGCACTAGAGATGACCAAACCCAAACCAAATCTAGGGAAAATATATGCATTATTTGCCTGAATTGATCACTAAAAAACAAAAAAACAAAAGGTGCCATCAAAATCAGTTTTTAGTATCCATCTCAGATGTATTAAGTATATAACACCAAAAAACTAGAAGTATAAAGTAATAGAACCTGGCCAGGTAGATAGAGTTTGCCATTGTATTCGACAGGGTCAAATGGACTTCCACTGGCAAAAATTGCATGTCCCTTTTTTAGAGCAGAGAAATTTATTAGTTTTGTATTTAAATCCAATCAGACATTACTTTGCATCAAAGCATCAAATTATAGGATAAGAAAAAATGCATAATTTATTTTTACTAGACTCCAAGTGTAAGCTTCTTCAACTGTGCACTCAGATTGCGAGGTTGGGTTGGAGAGAGCCATAATGAGAGGTTTCTGCATGCCATTCATTTAGAGTCTTATTATAAAATTTTGGAGAGAGAGAGAGAGAGAGAGAGAGAGAGAGAGAGAGAGAGTACCTCATTGAAGGAGGCCATGAGTGTGTCTTTACTGAAAACATCTATTTGTTCAAACTGCCATGTTTAATAGCATTTGCACAGAGGTTACACAGACTAAACTGTTAATAGCATTTGGACAAACATCGCAGCTCAATGTACACACGTAGCATTTTGAAACTGAACAAATACAGTAGTTTCAAACATAGCATTTGTGATGAATTACACACATGTTACACATATAGCATTTTCAATCTGAACAAACATGGCAGTTTTACAAACATATCAGGTCAATGTCAAGTAAATTATCAATCACACATGTTAAACAACTATTATCAACAAATCATGCTGAAGTGAAATGATTAGGGGCAGATTGTTGGAGACTGTGATTCAGTAGTTATCAAACTGAAATAGTTATCAACAAATGACACATGTGATTTTCAACAAAGCACACTGAAATACTTATCAACAAATCAGTAATAGTTATGAACATTTAAGTTCAGTTTGATAATAGTTATCAATGTTGATAATAGTTAATTCAAGTCACGCAGCTAACACATTAGTTGATAGCAGTTCATTACAACAATTCTTGCGTGATTGACAACAAATTCAGCAAAATCACATTATCAATCACACATTGAAAATTACACAACTATATGCATTCGTTCAACTAATTATCAATCTGCATAATCATACTATGTTCTGCAAAGATGTGATCCTTTCATTTTATGTTGGATCAGTTTCTGCGTATTCATACTACGTTCTGCAAAATTTATACTTTAACTCTAAAAGGTAAATGCATAAATGTTCATCACAATATGTGCCGCATTTTTCAAGCATACCATTTATCTATCCGCATAACAGTAATTTTCAAATATATTTTGTGAATCACAACCCTAACTTTTTTATTTCAGCGTTTGGAGGACGAACCTGGTTCATATATGGCCTGAAAGCCCACGTTATCGTCAACAAATTCCTTCTCTACAACCGATGGTGGTCGCGGTCGAGCTATGGTTCGCGAAGCAGAGAAAATGAGGGCTACAGCGGTGGGTTGGGTTTACGAGTGGGTGGCCGTCGGGAGTGGTCGCCGGTGAGGCTGGGTTCGGTGGAGAAGGAGTGAGTGTGACAGTGAGGGGGAGTGAGAATGAGATTGAGGTGTATACTCTGTATAACCTGTATAGCAGAGTGGGAAAACGGAAATTTATGTTTGGTTTG